TGGGGCGGAGGCGGACCCCCCGCCCGGGCCGGGGCCGGGGAGCGGGGATGGAGGGAGGCGGGGAAAGCCCACCCGAACCCCGCGGGAAACGGCGGGCCGGGAGCTGGGTGTCTCCTCAGGGACAATCCCGCGGGACGGGGACGCGCCCGGCGCTACGACTCACCTGAGGAGGAGGCGGCGGCGGCGGCCAGCGCAGCGCCGAGGAGGCTCAGCGTGGCCCAGGCGGCGCTCGGGGCGCCCATGGCCCCGCGGCGGCAGCAGCGCAGCGGGCTCTGCCCGCCCGCCCCTCGGCAGGTGCCGGGGCAGCGCCTCGGCCCCCGCCCCGCCGCCAAACTTTGCCCGCAGACAAAGCGGCAGCTCCGCGCCGCAGCCCGCCCGCCCCCCGCCCCGCCCCGGGCAGCGCGGCGCCCTCCTTCCTCCTCCCGGCACCGGGGGAGCTTCTCCTCCTCCTCCTTCCTCCTCCCGGCACCGGGGGAGCTTCTCCTCCTCCTCCTTCCTCCTCCCGGCACCGGGGGAGCTTCTCCTTCTCCTCCTCCTCCTTCCTCCTCCCGGCACCGGGGGAGCTTCTCCTTCTCCTCCTCCTCTTTCCTCCTCCCGGCACCGGGGGAGCTTCTCCTCCTCCTTCTTCTCCTCCTCCTCCTCCCGGCACCGGGGGAGCCTCTTCTCCTCCTGCTCCTCCTCCTCGACACCTTGGGCAGGGGAGCCGCGGGAGCCTCTCCTCCTCCTCCCCCGCACCTTGCGCGGGGGGACCAGGGGAGCCTCTCCTCATACTCCTCCTCCTCCTCTTTCTCCTTCTCCTCGGTAGCTCCCTGGGGATGAAACGGCCCCCAGCGATCCCACAACCTGTCCCAGCCGCAGCAGCACCGGGAATAGGCAAAGCAAGCGTGTTTGTGTTGGACCTGACCCCGCTGCCTTTAGCCCGGCTCGCACAATGATGCCTGGGAAAGGTCACCCTCTCCCCGTGGGTTTGAAGCTGGTCAGTAGTTGTGTTTGGGTGTCTGTCAGTTTTGTTTGTATTATTGTAACAAGAAGTACAACAAAGGAGCAGGGGCTGTTTAGGGAAACTACGGTACTTTTGTCACTGCCTTGTCCATTTCTTCCTGCCGTGTCACCTCCTTTCCTCTGCCTTTCTAGTGCAAATCCATGGAATAGATGAAGACTCCAACATTGGCAATCACAAATCAAGCACTCAAACTAAGAAAAACGACCAAAGCCCAAGCTAAACTGTTCCACTTGCAACGTTTTCTTGCTTTAAGCACCTCAACACACATACGGTGCCACGTCCACTCATGAAAAACTCCCTCTCTCACCCCTCCAGCACTGCACACCCAACAGAAGATACTGGAGCCAACTTTTCCAAATGAAAACTGGGCTCCTTTAAGTCTGAGGATAAAGAAAACCAGACCCACATTGGAAGTCACAGCCATTAAACTGCTACGAGCCAAAGCCTCAACCTGAAAGGAACTAAAAAAGTGAGCTTAGTTTTACCAGTCCATGAATGAAATCATCTTTTTTTTCCCAGCTAATTTCAGTGTTCCTGTTTCATAGCAGTATCCCAATTCCCACATAGCAGTCAGTTGTACAGAGCTGGGCTGCTGCTGCCTTCATCTCCTGATTAAATGCAACGATGGCAGCCCAATTTGATAATAATTCCTCGTGGTAGTTCCATCTGTTCAGTTCTGATTCACTTCCTAATGAACACTACCATCTTGAACTCCAAGCTGGAGGTCAGATTTCCTTTTTTTTTTTTTTTTTCAGGATTGCATGCCTTTAATCACCATGTTGGAATTCCAGCAACAAATGTGAGATGCAAAATGTGCAGCTTGGCACGGCTCCAAGATCCAAGCAGCGATTTGCATGATGAGTTTCTCAAGTTAATACTCATTAGCTATTAGCAGGAGGTTGTTCTTTATAAAAATAGGAGCAGGGAGACATAACAACTATCTCTGCACGCACCAGCACTATACAAACAAGTGTTTCATGTTCCTTTCAGATACGGCAGAAATGATGAAAGGAAGAAATGCACAGGCCCTTATTCCCTTCTAACTCCTCAAGCGAAACTCAGGACAACTTGATCAAACTCAAAGGAGCACCAGCAAGGGACAACGGGTGGAAATAGTAAAAGCCAAGTACAGAGAGGGTTCATTAACTTATTAATGTGTAAAATCCATCTTTCGATCATTCCAAGTGCCACAGCCCTGTCCAGCCCTGCCAGTGACCCAAACAATATGTCACTGCAGAGTCCCTGCATACAGTAGTATTTTAACTTAACCCAGCATCCTCCAGTACCTGGCAGTTTGGGAAGACTGGAGTTTTCCTCGTTTTCCAAGTAGCCTTGGAGCTGACACTGACCAACGGTGCTGCAGGACATAAATGTCATCATATTTAATCACTCGGAATGCCCAGCTCAGCACTAAAAACATCTCACCCCTGCTAGTTTTGGATGTGGCATTTGTAACATCCCCGCCCTCCTCTTCCAACCTCACCTCCGTGGCAGAACTCACAGCAAAAGCCTCGTGAACTCAGTTTGACCTACAGAGATCCCAAGTTTTTTGGAGTGCAATGAATTCCCGTACAAGTCCAGGTTGAGGCTGTGTCAGCCTAAACCCTGCATTCCCCAGAGCTGCCCACGTGCTTCCAGGACAATTTCTTCCTTGTTTGGGCAAATGTTTCTGTGTGCTCTCGTCATGAATCCCAGCTCATCTCCTGCTCCTCTCCTCAGTTAAATAACAGCAGCTCCAGATAAAAAAAAATTTAAAAGCCACTGTACATTATCTGCATTACAAAGGCACTGCAGCATTCCCTTTTTTGATAAAATTTTTCTAGAACTGTGATTTCTAGAAGCCAGCAATGTACAACACTGTTTCAGTACCACACAGACCAGGGGCATTATCCCTTTAGCATTTAGCAGCACGTATTCAGAACTACACCCGAAAACTTGCAGAGTTCATGAGCTACTTCTCTTGCTGCCCTGACTTCTAGAGAGCCAGATTTACAGTATTCCCACAGTATTCGAATTTTCCAAGTGCAGATCTCTGCAGGAACTTTGTTATTCCACACACTTTTATTCTTTGAGAGCACACTCAGCAGTCTGAGAGCTTCCGATTTAAGCTCACCCGCATATTTATGCTCGAGCATCACTTTCTTAAATCCACCAAAAAGGGCAGGTCTTTTTCCATAGTGGATATTAAAGCCTTGGAAATTAGCCAAAAGAACAGAGAAGAGAGCAAGAAACCTATGCAAATGATATCACAAGGTTTGCTCCTCCACACCAAGAGGTAACTCACCTTCACACTGCTCCTCTGGGGTCACAAACAGCACATATCCACTGTAATGCCTCATAATATCCCTTATATGTGTAATCCCTTAGTAATAAAGACACTCCTGGCTTACACACAGGCACAAAACGTGATCTTCAGGGTGAAACAGCCTTCCTGTAAAACAGTGTCCTACCTTTTGCTAAAATTCAGAATGCTGATCACCTGCTGGTGATCCAGCTGGGATGCACCAAGAGCCAAGGTCCCGAAGCACATCCCTGTGGCTTCACGTTTCCTGCTCGTCCTCAGCACAAATTCCAAGCAGGAAAAAGGTGGCAGGATCAGGGATGTACTTGCAGAGGATGCTGTACACGAGCTAATGAAGGGAGACAGGCTGTAGATGAGGAGCTTATGCAACATGATTAATTTTCTTTTCACTAGAAAAAAAACATCCAGATAAAACTTGTCAGAAGTAATCAAGCCTTTTGTGCAGGCTGATTAAGTGACTACCTTTGCTCATGGACTAGACCTGCCAGCACACAACCACTAGTTACCTGTACAATCAATTATTTAAAGCACAGGGTAAAGGGGAAAAACTCCACAAATCCGAAGTAATTAAAAAAAAAACCAGTTTCTTCTTAATTACTTACCCTCACCTATCTTCTCAAACTGGTGCTCCAGACCAGAAATTCCTAGACATCAGTATTAGGAAGCTAAAAAAGCTTTACTCTACAACTTAAACTTGTGCAGAACAAAGGAAGGAGGGAAAATGTGTTCAGATGGACACCCAAGTGCACTGGCATTGCTTTTTCCACATAGAACCCAGCAAGTCTACTTAGTCAGTGTGAAACTTCCCTCCACACCCCTAAAGAGAATTTTTTGATCAAACTCTGAGCAAAGCACCCCACATAATCCATAATCTATCACTGTGGCCTAACAGGAACATTCCAAGCTCCCTGACTGACAGCAGCCAAATGCTTCAGATGGGAACTACAAGAACTTCCATGCAGACATATCTGAGCAACCTCTTGGAAAAACAAGCCCTGCCTCCAATAACAGGAATGACTTCAAGTCACAAACCTTTCCAGATTCGGATCAGCTCATCCAACAGGATCCCTATTGTAAATAGCCAATCCTTTTAGGAACCATCTTACATTTGGGGGTACAGTTTTACTAACATTAAAAAAAAAACAAACCACCCAAGGAGAATTTCTTTTTCCAACACTTATACAGGAGGGAAGAGCAGGAACGCCACCTCCTGGAAAGAACGGGGAAAAAAAAGGGAAAGACATCCTGGTTGCCAGTGTATATTTAGGAACTGCGCTGGAGGAAAGCAAGAAAAATAAGAAATCAGAGCAATTTCCACAGATAATGAAATCAGTTCACGTTCCAAGCACACCCAAGACGGGCTGATCCACTTATCCCAAGTGGTTGTTCACAAGCCCTTCAAGAACCACCTCTATGATGGAAAATAGACAAGTGACACTTGGAGCTTCAGGCAGGATTCATCCCAAAATACTGTAAGTACAGTTCTGCCTGGGATAGTGCAAGCAAACCATGAACTGCCTGGATTCTCTGAGGGACACAGTTTCAGTCACACAGAGATGAACCTACATTGTTTGAGACAGAAGGTGCATGGCTACTCCTCCCACAGAACACATTCAATTTTTCCTTAGGGAAAAAAAAATCCCTGGTTCTGACAACAGGCTCCTGTTTGTGACATTGTTACACAGAAACTGGAAGTGAAATTCACGAGTTCCATTTATTTTTTGTTTCCACAGAGCATGATTTGAACGACACCCTTTGCTTCCCAAGCGTGACCGTCAGATCTACAAGGAAAGACCTCAGGTACTAACGGGTTCCTGGACAGGTTTTTCTGCTTCATCCTCGTCATCTGCGCTTCTTTCTTCTTCTTCTTCTTCCTTTTCTTCTGCTTTCTCCACTTGAGGTAAGATTCCATCGAGGTTCACTTGCAAACCTTCACTGGTTGAAGATCTGATCACCAACCTCTGCACAATGGGATCTAGAAAACAAACACCACCCACGTGGTCACTCGGCCCCTTTCCATGGCTCCAGGCTGACTCACCTCAGTACTGATCCCCACCGTGTCCAGAATCCCAACAAGGCACATCCCTTCAGCCCACAGTTTCCCATCCTCCCTGACAGACACCTGCTATCACCTATGGAAAGCCTGACAAGAACTAATTAAGTTATTGATAACTAGTTGCTGTAAATGACTGACAGTAAAGCACAGCTAGACTCCACTGTTGTAAACATTAGCAAGTTTGCTTCCCACAAACAGGAAATATTTTTCATCAGGGCCCACCACAAGAATCAATCACTAATCAGCAGAAATGCTACCAAGACCAGATGACTGAACTAGGCTGGCATAATTCACATTTAAAATCATCCAGAACAAAAATACCACCCCTTTCTGCACCTATTTATTATATTTCAAGTCAACCAACCCTTTATGCTTTTTATTTGGACTCCTCAAGGCATGGTCTGGTCTCTGTACAGCAGTTACTATTAACAGCATCACTGGGAGAGGTGCAAGATGATTCTTTTGGCAGACACGAGGCAAGTATTAGTATAAAAAGTTCTTTTCTTCGCTCACACAAGGCTACTCTTCCCTAAAATTATGCTCATGAACCACCACTTCCTCTCCAGCTAAGCAGATGCCCCAGAAATTTTGGAAATATCCTGGGAATAGAAAGGTCACTTAATGACAATTAGTTAAAACCACTCAGTTCTTAGTTTTGTTTGCTAATAACTTTAACTCCCACCTTAGAACAGCAGCTCCTTACCATAAGGTGGTGGCTTGAAGGTGCAGATATCATGGATAACTGCCTTTAGATTGGCAATTATGTGCTCAGTAGGCATATCCAGCTGGAAAAGGACAATGCCAGGTTAGACATGGCAGTACTTGAAGCCCAGATGAATAAACCTGAGAACACTGGGTATTTATTTATCCTACACTTGGGTAGATCTTCCTTCTCCGTGTTCCCTGTTAAGGAGTTCAAAATCCCACTAACAGCCCCACAATGAAGACAGGCAATGCTCAGAGGGTTTCAAGTATTTCAACACAGCTCCCACACCCAATTAAATATCCCAGCTTCCAAACAAGCATTTCACACTAAATCCTGGTGTGCACACAATCAGCTATCTCCCTGTTCAAAGTTTGGAACAATTCTCTCGGGATCAGGTGTTTAGTACCCTTCCTTCCTGTGCCACCATCAGTTAGAGGAAAACTAAACATCAGGCAGGATTAAAAAGAGACAAACCAGAAGGAAAAATAAAAAAACACACAGTTTGGGGCACAGAAAATAAATAAATAAGCAGAAATGAATGTTATATGTCAGGTGTAACACAGTTCTTTCTGCTCCAGTCCAGAAATACAGTTATCAAAATTAAGTCATTAATTATTTGAGTAAAGGAAACACTTTTTCATCCTTCTGTCCATATTGACCATGGACTTACCCATAGTTCATTTACTTAAAAAAAATAAAAAAAGGTTAAAACCAGCTGAAGATGCTGCACAACAAAGAGTTCCATCTCCTTCCCAGGTCAGTTAAAGAACACGGTTAAAAATCTCGGGCAACAGACTGAAAACATCTTTTTTTTCCCCTTTCTTTTAATACTAACTTGAGTTCTGCTCAGGAGAGAAAACTCTCCATACAACTTACCCTGGCTATCCTTGTCTTGATTACACTCTCGTCTTGCACGGCGTACTCGTGACATTCTCTGAAGAGCTGCACCATTTTGGGAATATCACTGCCCAGGGAATCTGTTTAAAAAAAAAATAAATAAAGGCAAAAAAAGGCAAAAAGAGTTGTCTGAGTGACGCCTATTAGCACAGATAAGTGTGGTATTAGTAAAGTGGTAATTAATTAAGGCAGCTGAACTCCACTCCAAAATGCAGTTTCACAAACAAGACAGTGGTGTCCTCAGGGGTATTATAGAAACAGTTTCCACCTTCCCTCCTTCCTCATTCATCAGGATTAATTAAGGGTAATTAGCAGGCAAATTTATCTTGGTTCTAATCCCGGATTTGCCTGTTGTAGGAGAAAAGCACAAATCTGGACTCCTAAAATTTCCTTTACCTAAGACAGAACAAGTGGTGCAGTCAAATACAGTCTAATACTGAATGTAATTACACATCCTCGGCAAAAAACCCTTTCAGTGGCACCTCCAGAGTTAAATCCTCTTCAGCAATCGAGAGCTGCGAGGAAGAATCGCTTCTTACTTTTTCTGGTGCTCGGGAATTTCCGTTTCAGTTTGTTCCTCAGTGGTACTAGCTTGGGTATTATGGCAGGAACAGCCACATAGAAATCTGCTTGGATTTCATCCTCCAAGATCTGCAACAAAAACAATTCAATATATTTAGCACACAAGTGGACCTGCAAAGCTGTCTGAGCACACAAACCCATCCCTCACTCTTCACATTGGCAAGCTGGAGTTTACTGGACATCAGGTTTCTTCCCCTCCCCAGGCCCAAACACAGTTTAAATTAGACTATATATATAATTCTTAAAAAAATTAAAATAAAAACCAATACCCATTTCATTAATTCAAGTCCCCCCACGATCTCAGCTCCACTCTCCCGAGCTATTTCAGCTTCTTGCTCATTCTGTTGAGAGAAAAACATAGCTATGAACAGCTGTACTACCAATTAGTCTGTACCAAAAAGGCTTCATTTTTGTAAAAACTTTGGCTCAAGCTTTTGCTTCGGGACAAAAATCGCTTCTTTTGGACTATCTCATACAGATATATGGAAGTCTGTTCTGCTAGGATGATTAAGTGGCAAAGAACAGCTGCAGGATTTTTCTGGACACATAAAACACACACAAATAAAGTTAATCCAGGCTCACCCACCTCTGTGAAAACCAAAACCTTATTCACTTCATCCGTAAAGCGATGGGGAAGGGCGACGGCACCCGAGAAAGGATCCAGCTTTTTCTAGGAAGTGAATCAAAAAACCAGTAAAAAAACCAAAGAAAAATCATGACTCGAGGGCAAGTTACAAATCCAAACAAGGTGAAGAAGTGAAACAGTGACCCCAGAACAAAGCACAGCGAGGTGTGCTGGCAAAACCACGCAAGTGCAAAGTCCGGAGCAGATTTAAACCCTTAAAAAAAAAAACCCCGCCAAGACCCCTACACCCTTCCAGACCTAACCTTCTTCAGGGCCATATCCAGGAACACATTGATATAGACAAACTGCTTGGGGTGAGTGAAGTCCAGCTGCTGGAACTTCTTCAGCATGCCCACGGCCTGCTCCAGGTCGTAGAAGGGGCGCCGGTAGAGCCACGTCAGGTACACGTCGTCCACGGGCTTCGTCATCAGCGGCCGCCGCCGGCGGGAGGGTTTGTCCTTGGCTTTCTCCTGCTTGGTCCACTGGGCACCTTTTTTGGCAGGTCTAAGACGAAAAAAACAAACCAAAACCAAACCTTGTTAGGTCATCAGTTGAAGAGTTCAGCCTGTCAAGAACATGGTGTGTCACGTGTTAAGGACCTGCTGCTGCACCAAAGCAAAACCAGCATGAGGGGAACACACCCCCTGGGCTGGCCTTCGCCTGGGCTGGCCTAAACTGAGAAAATCCAACAGGGAAGGAACAACTGCAAGGTTTCTCTTCTTCTTGTTGTAGCAGTCTCACCTCATAAAAAAGGTTTCTCCTCCCTTCCCTGCAGCATTTTGCATGCAGTTAAACACCAGCCCCAATTTTCACCCTTCTTCCTATTTCCAGAGGGTCTCAAGGCATGGAAAAAAATATTAAAATGTTTTTCTAAAAATTAGTAACTAGACACTCCATTCCTGTCTAACCATGGCAACAGAGCCTGCAGCACCTCAGAACGCTCAGTGTACAACACTGTTCACACTCCTGTACACCGAGGTCCTTCTCACTTCTCCGAGTCATGCTGTGTTATTAAAGAGGCAACAAATTAAACACTAAAAAGCAAACTGAAGACGAGGAAGTGTTTGAAACCGAGCCCACGAGCTCAGCAGCCTTCATGTTGTAACCCTGCCACAGCCTCCTAAAGCACATTTCAAAGCCACCCGCTCAGTCCTTCCCCATAACCGTGACGCTCTTTATGATAAGTGTTTACGCCACCAAGGCCTCTGGGCTGTTGGAGCAACACTGCAGACACCAAGAACGCCCCACACACCCCGCTACCACCACCCCCGCGGCCGAGGGAGCCTCCCGGAATACCGGACCCGCACTCACTTGGCTGCCGCCGCGAAGGGCCGGGCGGTCGCGGCGCTCACCACGGTGGGGGCGGCGAGGCGCTGCTCCAGCCCGGCGCGGACCCACCCGCGCTGCGGGGCCAGTGCTGCGGGGGAAGAGCAAACATCGCTTCAGACAGGCGTCGAGGCCTCCCGCTACCCCTGCCCCGCCCGGGTAGGCCCTCCCCGGACCCCGGGGCCGCCCCAGGGCGGCGGGCGGAGGCGGAGAGGCGGTGGCGCCCCCGGCTCCCTCAGCACAACCCCATCACCTCTCCACAGGCAGCGGGCGCTGGGCGCCGCCATCTTGCCGAGCCGCCGCGGTGCAGCGCCCAAAGCGTTCCCCGCGGAACTCGCTCCCCGAGACCGAGGACGGTGTTCCCTTTACTGCCGTCCACCCGCCCGTCGTGCCCTGGGCCTGGCGTTCCGCGGGTGCGCTTTCCCCCTCTCCTGGCGTGTGCTCGCTGTCCGGAGAGGGGTAACCCCTTGCCGGGGGCTGGTTAAAAGCCTCCAGTTCGCTTCTTAACCGGCCTGAAAGGGGTCTCGGGGCAATCTCGGGGTTGTGTCATAGCGCCGCGAACAAAACTGGTGTTCCCGCCCCCGAACCAACATGGCGGCTGAGGGCAAGCAGAGCCGCTGACATGGGCGCGTTTCCACCTGTTCCACCACGTCTGTTTGGGTGAACATTGTCAAGTTAACGCGAACATTATCTAGTTAACGATTAACAGTGTGACCTCCGAGCCCCGTGTAATTCCAGAATGGTATTTTCACTCCTCTTCCCTTGCAAATGGATTGGGATAAGAGTTGCCTGATCCACACTGCTCCACTCGTGGAGCAGCATCCACCTGCAAGGACTTTGTTAACTGTCTCCTAAGCTTATCAGATACATACCACAAACTATAATGGTTAAAGGGAGGGCCTTTATTCAACACTGATGCGCTTTTTTGACTAAAAACATCCCGATCCTGATCAATCCATGTCTAAGAATTTTTAAATCAGACGTGTGGCTCTGCAAAACAAATCAACATAACTGATCCATGTTTGTCCAGTGTAACTCTATGCTCAGCATCCTGGGAAAGGATGGAGATGGGGAATTGTCAGGGTGACAGGAGGAAAAGGAACCCTCCTCGGTTAAAAAGCCTCAGTGAGGAGTGACATGAGTTTAAAACATAGGGTGGGAAATGGAATTATTTTGGATGGGCATTAGGACTCCCTAATGTTTGACTCCCACAGTGGTGGCAGATGTAACCGGAGACTGTTTAATGTGCAGGTAACGACCTGAATCCTTCACAGTCTTAACTCCATGACTCTGGAATCCCCTTGCAAGCCTCTGGCTTGTTAGACACAAAGTCTCTGCTGTGAATCATGGATTTTGGGAGAGAAACATGAGCTCACGGTGATCGTGCGCCCATTCCCAATTATGCACTTGCTCCAAAGCCCATTTCCTACCAACAGAGGCACTTCCCGCTCTCCGGGCATCCTTGAGTTTTTTGTGTCCAGCACGAGCCCAGGCAACTGCTGTAGAAAGAAAATTACAAAGAAAAGTCCTCAGGCCTGATCTCTTGTCCCCCTCTGTGCCCCCCCCAGCCACCTGCTGCTCCCTCAGACACCTCCCTCCATCTCCCTGACGCTTTTCTTTTCTACCACTGCTTTCTCACCGGGGTACAGAGAGACCCACATCCCTCCCCGTGCCGGGGTGCTGCTTTTATTTTATTTTCCAATCCATCTTTTCCTCGCGTCCATCCCAAAGGGCTGCTGGTGCGTCCGGGAGACGACGGGGCGACATTTACCTGGTGCTCTTCCCTGCTCCAGCCGCCCTCAGGACTCACGGGGGGGCCGTGCCACTGAAATCTGGGCGCCAAAAACACGCTTCCCAGCAGAGGAGCTGCCGCCTGCGGAGAAACAAAGGTGTCTGGCACCGACGAGGACATGTCAAATCCCTTCGGAAAGGTGGACTCTTCCCTCTCGCAGCGCCGGGGGCGAGCGGCCCGCGAAGCCAAGCCACGCCACGTCCCCTTGGGCGCCGCAGCCCGGTGACAGCTGTGAAACCGGGGGGGGGGGTGTAAAAGCCAGGGGTGAAGCCGGGGAAGGGGCCCCTCTGATCTCTCGGGGGGGTAGCAAGGCCCGGCCGTGCGCGGTGACACGGCCCCGCGAGTGCCCACCGTCCCCCCCGCCGCGGCCCCGGCACCGCCCGCCGCCTCCCCGCGCCCGCCCCCGTCTCCTCCGCCCTCCGCTCCCCGGCCGCCGCCGCTCCTCCTCCTCCTCCTCCTCCTCCTGCTCGCCGCCGCCGCCGCCGCCGTCGCCGCCCGGGCCCCGCGGCTCCGTCCCCGCCGCCCGCGGGCCGCCGCCCGCATGTCGTGGGTGCCCGCCCCGCCGCCCCGCCGGCCCCGCCGCCCCGCCGCGCCGCATGCAGGTGAGCGGGGGAGCGGGAGCGGCCCCGCCGCCATGTCGGGCCCCGCCGGCGGCACCGCGTGAGGGGGGAGCGGGATCGGCCCCGCGGCGCGGCCCCGGAGGCCGCGGTTGGCGCTGCAGCCGAGCCCCGGGCGGCCGGCGGGGATGCCGCGGGGCTGCGGGGGGCGGCCGTGGGGGGAGCCGCGGCCGGGGGGCGAGTCCCGGCCCTGGGGTTGAAGCTCAGCCAGCGGACCGGTCCCGGCCGCGAGGCAGATCTCGGCCGTGGGACGGATCATGGGGCAGATCCTGGCCATGGGGTGAACCCTGGCCGAAGGGTGAATCCCGGACGTGGGGTAAATCCCGGTCATGGGGCACACCCTGGCCGTGGAGCGAATCCTGGCCATGGGGTAAATCCCAGTCGTGGGACGAATCCCAGACATGGAGTGAATCCCAGTCGTGGGGCAAATCCTGGTCGTGGGGTGAATCCCAACCGTGGGGTGAATCCTGGCCATGGGGTGAACCTCGGTCATGGGACAAATCCCGGCCGTGAGGCAGATCCCGGCCACAGGGTGAACGCCAGTAATGGGGTGAACCTCGGCTGTGGGACAGATCCTGGCCGTGGGGCAAATCCCGGCCATGGGGTGAACCCAAAGCATGTGGTGAAGCTGTGGGACAAGCACTTGGCCGCAGCTTCCTCCATGCCAGCCCACGTCCCATAATGGGACCTTCACCTGGTACCGTGGGTGACCCTCCAGCAGGTTGGTGAGGGTGTTTTTTGGCAAAGGATGTTTGTGGAGTGAGGGTGTGTTTGTAGTGAGGGTCGCTGGTCTCACCACCTTTCTCTAGTGGTTTCCCAGTGGTCCACAGCAGTCCCGTAGGAGGAGGATGACAGCAACATCACCTGCAATAAAACCTGTGCTGCCAGCCCAGGCCACAGTGCTTGCAAATAGTAGAACACACCTGAACACCGAGTTTTTGTCCCAGTTGGGGACTTGGTTTTTAAACTGAAGTGCTGGTGGTAAACATGGCCAAGGGCTCAGTTGCTCCACCAGCTTTTGTCTGACCTTCTGGAAATCTTTAGACCAGTGGCTTTAATCGGGCCATTTTGGAAACTTTGAATAGGCTGAGTATTTGTTTTGGGGAGGTGCAGCTTCTCAGGAGCCGGCCTGCTGATAAAGATTCTAGGTGGCCTTGGTTAAGCGGGGAATTTCCTACAGTTAAATTCATACCTGTGCCCTCCCCTCTCTGTGACACTCCCCCACCACCCAAAACTAGCGTGGAGGGGAGAACACCCCACCCTGAAGTCACTCAGGGTGCGCAGACATGACTGATGATGAAAGTGATGTTCGTGTGTTTATTTTTAAAAAGAAAAAAAATAGTACATTATTTCTAACGACAGCGTGACACAACCCAAGGAATTCCTAGAAGCTGTGTCCCGCTTTGGAGGGCCAGAAAGCTCTGAGGAAGGCAGAGCACGGCCTCTACAAAGGCGGGACTGCCAGTGACTTTACTTCTGTGTTCTCCCTGTGGAAAATGGGGAAATTTGTGCTGCCAAACGTCCCTCTCCCACGTGCTGGACGGTTGAGGTTTGCTTTGCGCCGCAGCCTGACCCAACTTCCTGGACGTAGCCCTTCTCCGTGGCTTTCCTTCCCCTCCCAGAGGGTGGTGGGAGGTTACTTCCAGCTTGATTTTATAATTTCTCTCCGGAGCAGATGGGCAGCGCGCGCTTCTGACATCTCGCTGCTCCGTGCTCTGGAATAACGATCCGCAGTATCGTGTGGACTCACCCAAACAGAACTTCTGCCTGAGCACCAACTCGGGCATTCAATCTCCTCCGGGGATTTTTGAAGATGCCAAAAGTCCTGTTACAGTTCAGCTGTTGGGTTTCACGGAGCGGTGGAAATTCTGCAATGCTCTGCTGTCTGCCACACAAATCCCGTTAAACACTTTCAGCTTTGTTCCCTTCTTGCTGTTAAAAGTGAGGGCGGGCTGCTCCAAGGGCTGAAGTACAGCACAACTTAATTTATTCCCTTTTATCTTCCCTTCCTACGGGGGCTCTTCCTCGCTCAGTTTGTGTATTTAATTGAAGGATAAAGTGCAGTGTAAATGGCTCACAGGCACTGCCGTGTTCCTGTGTGAAGTCCAGTTTTCTTCTGTGCTTGGAAGCAAGAGATTCACGTGCCAGGGGTAAGACAGGCTCCTCGTCGTCAGACTGTGGGAAAAACCCAGGCCTTTGCAGATCGATGTTAGTGGCTCCCGAGTTTCCCCCCAGGTTTGCATGGCAAACTTCTGCTGGCACAGCTCTGTCTGCGCGTGCGGTGCCGGAGTGTGACCCGTGACCGACAGAGCTGTGCCAGCAGAAGTCCCAGCTGCAGGAGCAGTTTATCTGCAGAAGTGCACTTTTACTGATAGAGCTTGTTTTCGTTTTTTAAAGGCTGTTTTTCCCTGTCTGCCAGTAGAGCACGGTGTTTCCAGGGATGTAGCGTGGTCAGGTGTTTGTTTGCCTGGCTCGGAAGGGAAGGGAAGGGACGGCTGCTCCGGGTGTATTTGCTGTGTGAGGCTCTCCTCTTCCTATCCGGAATCTGTAGGAGCTCCATCAGTTTGCAGTGGGAATTCTCTTGTGGAAGTAAGTGATGTTGCAGCTGCTTGTTTTCTTTTGGTCCAGAGGCATTGGTAAAACTTCCATTTCATGTTAAAACTGGGATTATCTTCTTCCCATGTGAACTGGGGTTGTTTTCCACTGACACCCTTGGTTTTGCCAAAAAACCAGGCAGGCTTTTGACCAAGTTGAGCTTTCACACCAGTCTTAGGAGAAATAAGCCAGAAGGTGATCCCAAGGTGCATGTGGACTCTGGTAGGAAAATGAAAAGGCACCAGTGGAGAAAAAGGAATTAATTTCCACACTGGGTAAGTCTCTACTTAATTTAAATCTAAACCACCAAGAATTAAAACTTATATTTAGGTAGATCACAGCAGCTGTTGACTTTTTTGTTCAGACTCAATGTGCACAAGTGGGGAGGTGTATTTCTTTTTTTTTTTTTGTTACTAAAACCTGCAGGAGGTCATTCTGGTTTTAAGGGGTAAAATTATGTATCTGTAACATGCATAATATCTAAGCAAACCTTTTTGAACTGCCCCCCAAAAATTCTAAAAAGAAGACGCTTGCGGGTTACTTGAGTTTAAAAAGGGAGATAAATCCAAATAAATGGCTTGCTTACTGTTTATTGGAAGGAGCTTTTGGGATGCCAAAAGGGCACTCGAGGCATGGGATGTAACCCGATTTGCATACTACTGAGAAAGCAAAAGCAACAGTGGAGCTTAGTTTGGGAGTGTAAGATGGCATTCGAGAAAACTTTAGAAAATAAGTTAAAATATGTCTTTGGCATATTTAGATTCAGGAGGATTTGCTGTGGATTTACTACTTTAGAGCATTAAATGCTAAGCCTCTTGTAATATTTTTTTTTTTTGGTCCAAGTTCTGTGGTTCCCTTGATGACAGGCTGTAATCAAGGCTTGGGTGCTGCTCACAGTGTAACTTCACCTGATTAATTCTTTGGGTTTCAGTGATTGGGCTGTGCAGCTTCTCCATCTCACCTGTAATGATAGAAAAGAAAAAAAAAAGAGACTGTTTTGGGATGTTTCTTTATCAAGATCTTTAGGTGGTGACAATAGTTCTGGAATTCTGCTGCTCTCCTTCTGTGTCATAAAAGGCTCGTATGAGGAGAGTTGAGAACAAGAAAAAAAATCCACCCCACCCTACCCCAAAAAAACCCCTCAACCCAAGCTGAACTTAGTCTGAATAACAGAGAGCAGTGGAAGAAAATCTCTCTGGAGCCCTGCTTAGAAGAAAAAGCTTTGCAGTTTCTTGGGCATCACCCAAAAAGCAACTTCAGGAGCGTTCAGACACCACCAGAAAGCAGTTTGACAAGTGGTCACTGAAATGGGATTAAAGATAGGCAGAAATACACTGTATGGTGTTCTACAAGAAACACATTTTATCCCTCTCAAGGGGAGGCGTTAGACCATCGCTCAGAAAAATGCTCCAAGGCGAAGAAAAATCAGCTCCAGGCAGTTTTAGCCACAGCTCAGGTGCAGTGAGTGAACCAGAGGGATTTTGGAAGCTGCAGCAAGGAATGGGACAGAGCCCCACTGAGCTGTGGGGTGTCTTGCACACCAGTAGTTTAACTTCACCTTGTAACCTGCACCTGTAAACAAGGAGCAGATAAGGCTGTGTGTGTGTGTCCACCCCTGCTTTGGCATTTCCTGATGTAAGTGGTTAATGGCATTTATGATTTACCTGTGGAGCCTTTCCTCTTCCCAAGTTATGCACACACCCGTGGTCTCTGGAGGCTGTGTTGGAAATGGGAATGTGAACCAAAGCTCCCGATTAGGGATCCTTCATCCACAGTTGCTGCTGCAAGTCAGCAGCTCCCCAGACTGCTGCTTCCAACTGCCTGAAAGTAAAGACCCAATTAAACATCTGAAATGCTTTTTGTAAAGGCCAAAAAGTATTTCTGGGCTGAGGCAGCTCCACAAAGTGCAGGAGAGGGAGGAATGCTTAGCCTCGTGTTGCTGCAGAGGGACCCCCCTCTTTGCTTTGGTGTCAAACGTATTTTTTTTTCAGTCCATCAGATTTCACAAGTATAAAGAGAACTACAAAAACCATAAGCTTTTGGTCAAGCTGTTAATAATAATCGGGATTTGTGGATGGTGCTCAAGTTCACTGTTTACCCTCTAGGGCAGCTGAATGAATTGCTCGGGTAGTTTCCCCCTCGCTTTTCAGGAATGCTTCCATCTGAGTGAACATCTTTGTGCCTTCTAATCACAAATTAGTTTTGCTTTCTTTTTTTTTTTCCCCTTCCCAAGAAATCAATCTAAAGGCCCTCTCAAAAGGCTCTGGCTTGGCTTTAGGAACAATCTAGAGAGAGTGCTGAAGACTTGCTTCTGCAGGTGTTTAGCTTTTCTTTTTTCCACGTGGAGAATATCCTTTGCTCTTCTCCCTGCTCCAGGCTGGGAGCTGGAG